CTGTTCTTTTAAACGATTACCGCTTGTTTGCTTTTACGTAGTGCGTTAATGATAAAAGCCAAGTGGAAACGAACTAAGCAGCAATTCTATCTTCTCTGCAAGGGGGATGCAATTTGACGTGATGGGATATCAAACACACACTAAGATTGTGATTATCTTATAAATATTAATACGATTCAGACTATTCTGATAAAATGTTTTCCAATTTTATTTAGGATGCGCTAAACATTTCCTGATTTCACGTTTGATTAGCCAATGAGTTAGAACATGAATTTTTTAAACTGCTCGCCCTTTCAATTTTATTCTTAATTGTGAAGGGTTTTGAATAAATTACAAAACCAAGAGAAGTTAGTTATCTGTAGTTTATTGCCGATTGTGATCGTGACTTTATTTCTCTGCAGATGTCCGACAATGGGAATATATATCATATTGTCTCTCTCAGTTATCGTTTACGGAAAAAGGGATGAAAAAACTCATAGATTTATTTAAGTCATATGAGCATGTCTTGTCAGAGGATTCTGTTATGGATCACTTCAGGAACATACTGAACAAGGTAAATATATTTTTGCTCGTGCTGTCATGCATACTTTATGTAAGAGTGGCTAAGGCTTTTTGATATAATTTAATTGAGATCAGGGCAAGAAGTTTGCGAAGGTTGAACTTAAAGCTTGCATTGAAGAGTTTGAGGATAAACTCAATAAGTTTCACAGGGATAGAAAGGAACAGGAAGTTACTGCTCGAAATGCCCAAATTCATCAAAGGAAGATTGACAGTATGGAGGGTTTTACTGTGAATTCTGAGGATTACTTGGAGTCTAATTCTGCTTCAGGTTAACTTTTAAATTAAAAAATGTCCTAGTGCTGTACTTTCTGTTGTTTTCCTTATGACGTCATATATTTATTGATGTACATTATGTGATAGTAATGAACTCTTCAAAGCCCATGAAGGCTCATTGTCAAATCTTGTCCTATTCCTACGCTGACATGATCAATCTTTACAGAATGAGGGTATGGAATGATGTATTAATAATATATTGCAAATGTCAATCCACTGACAAGTCGGCTAAAAGGATGAACATTTAAGCATTACTACGCCTGATGATTTTACTAGATAAACAATTGTCTGCTCTGGAAAAATTCTGTTGTTTAAAAATTAACGTAGCTTCTTGGTTTGCATGAACTTCTCGTGAATATTATGCGTATGATTTTTTTAATCGTGATTTTTTGTGCCAGATGAAACGGAAGGTGAAGTAATTGATGGTCGGGCGGAAGAGGCGACGTTGCCATCAAATGGGAAATCAGAATCTAAACATGTGCCAGAAGATCATTCTGGTGCTTCGAGTGAGTTGACAGAGTCGGATCAAGGGGATATTGAAATCCAATCTTCCCAGGTTAAGACGAGAGGTTAGTTTAAAAACAGCTTTTGCTAATCAGCTTGATTCTATTGTTATTGTTACAATTAACAAGAGGTGGCTGATTATAGGGGTTTGTCGGTCCAAAACTAGTAAAAGCAGTGTTAAAGATGAAAAAGGTGATGATATCTCTGTCACCAGAAGGAATACTCGGTCAAGGAGGTATATCTTATGCTTCTCTAGCTTGTATGACTTGAATTAAGTAAGAAAACAAAGAATTATTTTGTTGATATCAATCACATCAATTATATTTTTATCATCTCTGTTTGAAATAACCAAATCCTTTAAAAAAGGAAATAAAGATTTGCTGAAATGAATAGAAAAATTCTATGGATATTTTTTTCCTAATTACAATGGAATATTGGAAATATTTTTATCGTAATAATATGCTATTTACAACAATATATTTTTGTGATAAGATAAGTGCTAGCATTTCTGATCTTGCATGTTGTTCATGTCCTGTAAATGGATTGAATTGGTTATTGACTCGGGACAGAGCATGAAGTGAAAATTTTGAAAACTCTACAGTTTAATGTTATGCTCATTTTTTGCTAATTTAGTTTTTAAAACCAAAAAAATGTTTGTGTGAATCCTGTTGATTATTTTTATTTAGCATAGTTATGCAAATAGATGCAGTGTTGATAGGATGTGGTGCGAATGTCACCTGTATGTTAATCGGTTGTCTTTGACCTCTATTTATTGATCTACCTATTTATAGTAAAACTCCATAAAAGACCAGTGGAAATGTTTTTGCACGGCATCTAATTTGGTCGTTTCGCATTGTATTGTATAATTATTTACTTTAGTTGGTATGGTAAAACACATAACACTAATTGTGTTAAAATTGAATTCTAATATGAAATCTGAAACACAAATGTGACATCGACATCTAGCCTGTTTCTTCATTACTATTTCAGGCCACTTAGTCCTTTTGTCTAGTATGTTGCCTTGTTGTTCCTTACTAACTTCAAGTTATTCGTTACCCATGTCTCTCCTTTTCCTCTAATCATAAAGAACTGGCAGTTACATATTTCATTCAAATCCATCCCGATTTTAGTTTTTCAATCGAGAGTTGCAGTTACTAACATCCATGATTTCTCAAGACAATGGACATCGATTTTTTTGCTTCCCTTATATACATATTAACAAAACATTCTGGAGGCACCGACATGTGATTGGATTGAGTAGCTCAGGTTCGGTTTCCTTAAGTAAGATTTCAGTAAATATGTGAATGATAAACGTCGTTGAGAGAGGACTCTTGTAAAGATGTTATAAATTGCACCAATGTCAATATTAGTGACAAAAACACTTCCGAGGCAAGCAACAAACCAGAAAAGTCGTTTTTCCTGAAAAGCCTTGGTAAAGATTGCATATTAGTGTTTTATCACGATTTGCATAAGTGAGTCAAAGATGGTAATCTATTTGTTGACATTGATACCCATCAAATTTGAAGACCATTTTATAAGTTTTTCAAACTCGTCACCGCTGGCATAATTTTAGTGACTTTACTTCTTTATCTTCGTCATCTAATATAACCTTATTTCACGAGTTCAGCACATCCATAGATTTATCTTAGTTCACGAGATATATAGTGAATTAATATAGCCTACCTGCACATTCTTGTTGGTCAACCATGTAGTTGAATGTATTTATGAAATTTTCCAGTTGTCTCATCTATATGATTTGGTGGAATAACCTTTTTATCAACTTAAGTGAACTCAGTGTACATGAGGCTCCTTTCATCTGCCACGAAAATGAGCTGAAGTTGCTCCGGTAATCTTAATAATTCTGGAGCTGGTGGTTTGAGTGGGCTCCTAACTTTGTCAATATTAGTAGAATAATGTACGTGTGAATAGCTTAATACACAAATAGTGCAAGTTTACTAAATTTTGAATATAACTCTAACTAAATGGCACAGTGAATCAGTTGTTTTATGGTATCGAGAGCAGAACGCTCAAATCTTGTTTATCCATTAACTTTGTCCCTGGCTGCAGGTAGAGATACTGAGGCACCTTTGGATGAGAAGATATACTTTTCAGTATTACGTGGGATTTGTAGTTATTGACAAATTGCTAACTTGATGTCAATGGAATCTGAAAGACCTACTCTGCAGCTGCCAATATATGACTGCATTTTCAAGGTTTGGATACATCATGCTTAACAGATTCTAGTAGATGCAACTATTGTTGCTATTGGCATATTTGTAGAATACCCAATAGAATGGCGTATTGTGTAATACTGTATTACGATATCGATTTAAAGTGTGGATTCTCAAGGGATTTTCTTCCTAAAATATATCATTTTAGGGAAGTGTAGTTTGTAAAACTGCAGATTTGTAACATATCAATTTATCCTAAGTCATGATTGGGTTATATGCATTCCTGACCAGTTATATTATGATTAACAAAAAAAGTTCAAATTAGTAGCTACTTATTAGCTCCTTGATAAAAAAAATTATTCATTTTAATTAGAAATGAGTCAATGAATTTTTTACTCAATTTTTTTCCCTTTTAAACATGAATTATAGAAGCTCAATATTTTAATTTACTAATTTTATTATTATATTAACAATCATTACAAGGAACATGTTGACACTTAAAAGAACCTTTTTTTTTTCGCCAAATCAAAATCTGTCCTTTCCCATTTATATATAGAATACTGCTTTACAGTACAAGCAAAATATTTTATCTGTTTACTTTGAGAACATAATTTTATATTTTATATTTGATTTAATATTCTTTCATATTTTAGAAAATAAATTTGTAAAATTGAATTTGTTTTTTAAAATAAATTGAAAGTAAATACAATTCTTATTTACAAGATTTTAAAAGTTGAAGCATAATAATGCTTACAAGTGTTTATGAATGAATGCCTTCCTAATATTAAACTAATTGTATGTATAATATTAAATTGGTATTTTATTCATAAAAGCTCACATTTTTTTCTAGGAGAAAAGTACTAACCCACTTGTAAATTGGTGAGTGTATAAGCATTTAATATAAAATGTTTAAAGAGCGTTGTATTTAATTAAATCTCCCATCAATAAAATCTTCTCCTTCTGACTAGAAGTGGTCACGAACCATCACATTATATAAATATAAAGTCCCACCAATAAAAAATGTAACACCATACATAGGATATAATTGTTAAACTTAATTTAAGTGCTCAAGTAGTTACGTTACATAAAATTATGGCGTTTTCCTTTGCATATCCGGACAAATTTTGAACTTGATTAGCATATTAGACTATTCAAAAAAAAATTTCTTTAAAAGGTCCATTTGTAATAAATTTGGGACCTTTAAAAAGTGAAAGGTGTCAAATATTTTGAGGCATTGGTGACATGATAAATGCATTGGAATTAAAAGAAACTAATTAGGTAAAAGAAAACAATCACAAGGAAGATAGTCACCAAAAGCACCAACATCACAAAAAAAAAAACAAAATCTAGGGTTTATATACCATGTTCTATAGAACTCAAGTGAATGAATTATGCAAATAAGGTATTTTTATAAACAATGTGTATTATAAAATTGCTTAGTCTAAACAAAAAGAGAAATTTCATTTTAGCCGTATTTTTTGTTTTCCAGAATTTTAGTAGAATTTTAAAATGGATAATTAACTCAAATTCCATCACTTCTCTGTTTGCTCATCATAGTTGAGCGCAGACATGCTGAGAACACTAGTTCTGAAGCGCACCGTCGCTCTCACTCGCCAACATTCGCACTCCGTGCTCCTCCGCCGATTTTCGGCGGCGCCGGAACCCGCCGCCTCCGCCGATGCAGAAACCCGCAAGTACGCGGGCTACGCGGCGCTGCTCCTCTTCTGCGGTGCCGCCACCTATTACAGCTTCCCCCTGCCGGTCGATGCCAAGCACAAGAAGGCGCAGATCTTTCGGTACGCGCCGTTGCCGGAGGACCTGCACACGGTGTCGAACTGGAGCGGGACGCACGAGGTGCACACTCGCAACTTCTTCCAGCCGGAGAACGTGGAGCAGCTGGAGCGCGTGGTGAGGGAGGCGAACGAGAAGAGAGCCCGAATCCGTCCGGTCGGGTCGGGGCTGTCGCCGAACGGGATTGGGCTTTCGAGGGTCGGAATGGTGAACTTGGCGCTGATGGATGGGATATTGGAAGTGGACAAGCAGAGTAAGACTGTGAGGGTGCAGGCCGGGATCAGAGTGCAGCAGCTTGTGGATGGACTCAAGGACCACGGTCTTACCTTGCAGAATTTTGCTTCCATTAGGGAGCAACAAATTGGTGGCATCATTCAGGTTCTTCTTTTATTATGTTTAGCCACACTTCGGAGATCGGCTCTGACCAGTGATTTGACCAAATTAGGAATATAAACTCAAATTGACTTATGCTTGAATTCAAATTGTAAGACAGTATCATAGATAGGTTGTTGTTGGGCCTATCAAAGCAATTGCTATCATTAGCTTAAGGATGAAGTTCTGACATCAGCGTAATATGATTAAATTAAATACATGAGTTAGATCATTTTTATCTTACAATTAGTTTTAGAAAGTTGAGTTAGGACGAAAGTCAAATTGTGAGATGGTATCAGAACTTTATCCTATAAATTTCATACTCAGATATATAAAATGTTGGCAGTGAGGTGTATTAGAAACATCGATGCAGTAGTTTTATGGTCTAATTAACATACATAAATAGGAATAATCTTCACTTTATATGCCAATTTTGTTGAAGTGATTTAGATGCAAAACCATATTCCAAGATAACCAATATCAGATTTTCCNGGTGGCATCATTCAGGTTCTTCTTTTATTATGTTTAGCCACACTTCGGAGATCGGCTCTGACCAGTGATTTGACCAAATTAGGAATATAAACTCAAATTGACTTATGCTTGAATTCAAATTGTAAGACAGTATCATAGATAGGTTGTTGTTGGGCCTATCAAAGCAATTGCTATCATTAGCTTAAGGATGAAGTTCTGACATCAGCGTAATATGATTAAATTAAATACATGTGTTAGATCATTTTTATCTTACAATTAGTTTTAGAAAGTTGAGTTAGGACGAAAGTCAAATTGTGAGATGGTATCAGAACTTTATCCTATAAATTTCATACTCAGATATATAAAATGTTGGCAGTGAGGTGTATTAGAAACATCGATGCAGTAGTTTTATGGTCTAATTAACATACATAAATAGGAATAATCTTCACTTTATATGCCAATTTTGTTGAAGTGATTTAGATGCAAAACCATATTCCAAGATAACCAATATCAGATTTTCCTAAGAAAAATTATATGTGATTCTTAGGTATTTATCGTGCCATGTATTATGCAAGAAGTGATTAAAATGGGTATCAGGTTTTCTGCCTGGTTGAATTTTTCTGTTTGGGGTCGTTTAATACTTGACCACCTTGTCATCTTTCATATAAAGTAAAAGGCTTTGCATTCATGTTCTAGGTTGGTGCACATGGCACCGGTGCAAAGTTGCCTCCTATTGATGAACAAGTGATTGCCATGAAATTGGTCACCCCTGCCAAAGGGACTATAGAAATATCGAAAGATAAAGATCCGGAGCTGTTTTATCTTGCTCGATGTGGTCTTGGAGGACTTGGAGTTGTGGCTGAAGTCACCCTTCAATGTGTTGATCGACAGGAGCTTGTGGAGCACACATTTGTCTCATCCATGAAGGAGATAAAGAGAAATCACAAGTAATTATTTTTGGTGTTTATTTTTTTGTTTTCATTTGGTGCATCAATCAAATAACAGATATGTTGAATTTTATCATTACCACGTTTGTTACACTATCTTTCTGTAACATGGAACTAAGATCTAAAAGTTACTTTACTCCCCAACAACTATAATAAAAATGACAATGAGAGAAAATCCCTCCTTGGTTTGTCCTCCATATATTACAGTGTCATCATATTAATTCTTTAAAGATTTTTGTCACTAAATTTGTCCCAGAAAAATTTAGAATGCTACACATAGTGGTGATATAAAAGGACAGATTTATAACTATTTGCAATCTTTGAAGGACTAATTTAGTTGCAAAAAAATCTCAGAATTATTGATGTGATGAAAGCTAATTTTGGATGACCAATGTAATGTTTATATTAATAAGAATAAAAGAGTGACTCGGTATTAAGGATCTGCCTCCAAAGATTTTGATTGTTAGCCCTTTTCTATCTTATGCAGGAAATTGTTGTCTGACAATAAGCATGTGAAGTACCTTTATATCCCTTACACCGACACTGTTGTGGTTGTGCGGTGCAATCCTGTTTCAAAGTGGAAAGGTCCTCCCAAGTTTAAACCACAGTATACTAAAGATGAAGCCATACAGCATGTGCGTGACCTTTACAGGGAGTCCCTCCAGAAATATGGGTACAATTACACCTTCACTGTTGATTGTAAGATTAATCAATTTATTTTGGTTTGTTAGATGTACTGGAGTAGCCATTGCAAGAAAGTGTTGCTGAGTCTTTTTCACCTAATAAAAGCCACTAGATGCTGTTACGTGACATTTCTTCTTTTTGTGTCTTGAATATGATTTAAATTTACATTCAGAGGTAGAAATAGAATATTGAAGGAATTACTAAAGATTTAGAACTGTTTCCATTTTGTAGGCCTGTGAATTTCCTACTAATTCGTGTAGTTTAGTAAGGCACGGACTGATAAATGTTAATGTATTTTGCATATTGATCTGAGGTGTTGAAAAAGTGCTGTGATCTCGTTGATATTCCTGTGATTTTGCTACCGTTTTAATCACTTTTTATATTAGTAGCTTGCTGCCAAACACTTCCGTTTTCATTTTATATTTCCCTTGTGAAATGTGACATTCTTTAATTGGTGCCATACTATGAACTTTTCTATTTCAAGATGTGCATAAGTTTTTGTTATTTTATACAGAGCAGGAGGATCTAGGGGTGAATCAGCAGAAGAACAAAAAATAGATGAACTTTCTTTCACAGAATTAAGAGATAAACTAATTGCCCTGGATCCTCTCAATAAAAAGCACATCATCAGCATTAATCAAGCTGAGGCCGAGTTCTGGCGGAAGTCAGAAGGTTACAGGGTTGGATGGAGTGATGAAATATTGGGCTTTGATTGTGGAGGCCAACAGTGGGTATCGGAGACATGTTTCCCAGCTGGAAAACTAGCTAATCCAAGCATGAAAGACCTTGAATACATTGAAGAGCTGAAGCAACTTATAGAGAATGAAGAGATACCTGCACCTGCTCCAATTGAGCAACGTTGGACAGCGAGCAGTAGGAGTCCCTTGAGTCCTGCTTCAAGCCCATCTGAGGATGATATATTTTCTTGGGTAATAAAACTCTTTCCTGGATAATTGTTTCTTACAGATAGTTCCAAATTCTTTATTAAGCAAGGATGGGTGAACTTGTTTACTTGGTCATATGAAGTAAGCGTAGCTCCATGTTTATCACGATGATTCTACTTCCTTTTCTGTTCATATCTTGTATAATGAAACTTTTGGCGGTGTATTTGGGATTTTAATAATTTTAGCAACTTTTAGAGAAAAGATGAAATGAGGTTTTTTAATTGAAAAACTTCAGCAGCTTCTCTAGATATGCATTTTTTGTCTGGAGAAAGAGAATTTATTTTCTGAAAATATAATTTACTTGAGTTTAATTTTAGTCAACTGCCCACAGTAATGTCATTCATAATCTTTAATTTTAAGGTTTTGAATTTGTTAGATGCAAACTTCACCTTATTGAGTTAGTTTTATGAGATTGAGTTAGATTAAAATTTCACTTTCTTAAAATGATAACAAAGTCATTGAGATCCTATCCTAGTCAATCTTGTTGGGTCTTGTGTTATGTGTAATCAGGTTTTCTCTTGCTCTACACTCGAGATGCCTAGTTCTTGGCATAAGAGAGTGTGTTGAATATCCCACAATAACAAGAGATATAGTCAAATTATAATATATAGGATGATACAAACTTCACGTCACTAAATTTGTTTGGTGAAGTTGAGTTATGTTTAAATTTCACTTTCTTAATTAATTGTAATCTAACATAACTCATTGGCTCCTTCCATGAATTTCAATGTTGTTATGCAGTTCGAAAGATTGTATCGACTATTAATAGTTTTTATGTTGTTTCAGGTGGGTATAATCATGTACCTCCCTACCATGGATGCTCGGCAGAGGAAGGATATAACAGAAGAATTCTTTCATTACAGGCATCTGACTCAGGCGACATTATGGGATCGTTACTCTGCATTTGAACACTGGGCTAAGATTGAGGTAATAATCTAATTATCATAAATAATGAAAAATGGTCGAACATGGTATTTGGACATGATTACCCTAAATAATCTGTGATATTTGTTCTCAATCATTATCATTGAACCTAGGCTGAATGAAAGGGTTTAAACACTGAAGTTTACTTAATTTTTGTGCATATTATATCTAGGTTCCAAAGGATAAGGAGGAACTTGCAGCTCTCCAAGCAAGGCTAAGAAAGAGGTTTCCTGTGGATTCATACAATAAAGCAAGAAAGGACCTGGACCCCAATAGGATCCTTTCAAATAACATGTTGGAAAAGCTCTTCGCGCAATCAAACACCATATAAATTCTGGGTTAGTTATTTGTCTAAATTGTCCATATTTTTCACGTCGATTACACATTCAACCTTGAGTTCTTGTCTGCAGTCAAATACATATTGGAACTTCGAGATGCAAAATATCAGGTGCACAATCTGGACTATTATGCATATTAAAATTTTCAGTTTATTGCCTGCCTGCCAGATGCATTGGACTCGGAAGCTTAAAGAATTGTGATGTATGTACATATAGAGGTGCTGAAAGAGGAAGCATAGAGAAAGGGTAATGGGGGGAAATGGAGGAGAAAATATTTTGATATAGTTGTATGAATTGCTGCCTGATAAGCGTCAATCATGACCATCATACTTCATTTTTTTGCGTTCAATTGTTATTCCACAACTTGTTTGAGATTTCTAAAAACATTTTTCTTGTCATGATAAACATCGGATGCAAGACCTTTCGAAAGAAATAATGGGGATTACTCCAATTGGTATCTATATTTTTTTCCTCAAGATATTAGTACCTTGGGTATCAAACATATACTGTTTATTAACTTAGTGCTCTCAAACATATTTCTCTTTCACTCATCAAGTGTTATGGTATGTTTGAAAGGAGAAAGAGAACACAAAAACCAGAGGTTCTGTGCCAAGATTGAATTTTTCTTTTTTGAGCTTCCTATATTTATTTCTACACCCAGTTGAAAGATCGGGTGAAGAAAGGGCTAAAGCCCAACAATCAACAAAAGAAGGGTTAAAAAGATGCTCAAACTGGAATAGGATAAACCAGTGCACAAGATATAGAATAAAAAATATATTTGAAAATGGCAGAAAACAGATGAAAATGCTAGGTGTCATTGTTTATATTGACCAAAACTATTGGAACACAATATCATAAAGATCTTTCTTAAAATTTTAATAAAAAGTTCATGCTAGATGTTATAATATATCTTCATATCACTGATATCTGAAAATATAGCTAATATTTGTCATTATATAAAAAATATTATTAAAAAATGATTAAATAGTGTAAAAGAATCATTACACACCAAATTCATAAAAAAATACAAGACAAACTCCAAAACGAACTAAGTAAGATCTCTTTCTTAATTAAAACTTGTAATTTGTTAATAAACGATTTCAAGATAACCATGTTTGTCTAGATAAAAATTACAGCTTATACATGGGATATGTACTTGTTTATTATTATTAATCTTATTGAAATAAATAGATAGTTTGGGTATTATATTTTTGAAAGTAAAGTAAGTTGTTCCAATTTACGCAATATGTCAAACTTCATGTAACAAGGTAAAATTATTTATCGAAAAATTATTTTGAAATTTGAGCTGATTGACCCAAACAAAATTAGTTTTAGTATAAAAGAGTTTAAATATATTAAAAAAACAGGAAAATTCATTATTTGGCCGAGATACTGTAATTATTGTTGAATTTACTTAATTACATGGGAGGAGTAAATATTTGAATCTTTGTGCTATGAATTAAAAAATCTATTCGCTGTAGCATCGCAAGCATAAACCATATAAAGTTATCATATAATAATATTGTAAGACAGTTAAAGATATTATAATAAGATAACACTTATCCTAAAATAACCATAAAATTTAAAGTTTTATTGATCAGTAATTCATGATTACAAAATTTAACCGAACGGTTCAACCCAGAAACTAAAAACAGTAATATGACCGATCGGTCATATTTTAAACTGCAGGATTCTCGCTCTCCAACTCCTGCTCCAGCGTACACTCCACATTCTCTGCTCACACCCAAAAGGTGATAATCGCAAGAGAAAAACCGAATGGGAACATGGGCAAAACAGGAAATAAGGGTAAGTTAATGTAATTTAGTTATACAAACATACATACAATTCGTACAAGTACAACCAATGCATACCCGAATACTTCAACATACCAAAACAAATACATATACATATACAAATGAACACAATAATTCATGCATAAACAGTACGCCTGACTTGACCATCCGGATTGTATGAATATGTAGCTTGAGGCCGTTCATGCATACGAGTGGTGTAGTAACTAGAAAACCATCAGCTGCCACCCAAGGTTAGTCCATTATAACTCACCCAAGAACATATGGACAAGGACCTCCTACAATTCTCACACAATGCCTTAACCATCTCTACTTGAGAATTGGTAATCATCAGAATATCAAGATGAACTTCGTGAATTTCACTATCCATATTCATACTATAACACCACTTTGATACACTTTTCACTTGAGACATTTACCACTTCAATACATTTTTCACTGAGACATTCCTCCTTTGAAATTCTCTTCCACATTACTTGAAACATATGCCTTATTTGAAATATCAATACAATTTCCCATACTCAGTAGATCAATACAATTATCTCAATCCATCCAAGTCAAACAACGATAATAGCATTTAAAGATTAAATATTCATTCATAGAAGAAACTAAACGTTAACAACACAAACTCCGAGTATGACTGAACGGAAAAGATTAACATAACCTATGAACAAGACCAGACGGTAAAACAATCCCCATATGAGAATATGACCGAATGGTCATTTAAAGAGTAAGACCCAAACAAGAGTCGAACAATATTGGCTTAGGCTGAACACTATTGGCTTAGGCCAAACACTATTAACTTAGTACAAATACGATATTGAGCACTAGTATAAGAACGAGCACCCATAAGAGACCACACAACCCAATAATACCGATCACAACATTATCATAAATGCTAGTACAAAACCGAGCACTATATCAAACGAGTGCTAGTCCAAGACCGAGCACTTACCAAGAACGAGCGTTGTTTAAAATCAAATGTTATGTTTAGACCAACTGCTATATTCACCAGAATATCAATACAAGACCGATCGGTCATTAACTAAGGATCCACAAAAGCAGAACTCAGTTAAGACCGAGAACCAATACCAACCGAGTACTACCAAAAACGAGTGCTAACATAGTACTATTAATAACAAACGCTAAACCTATTATGACTAATAACAAATGATAATACCCACCCTGAGACTGTCAATATTAAATCGAGCGACACTTAACCAAATTATCACTACGAAACCGAATATCGTTTAAACCCGATTACAAGACCAGACCGATTGTTCTATACCGATCGCTCAATTTTCTACAAAACTTACAGAACCTCTCCACCACCTCACATGTTTCGTCCAAACACATAATATTGCATACAATTCAATCAAACATACAATTATTCATACATGCACACGTTCAAACAGAGATTCCAACCACAGTCACAGAGAAACATAATTAAATTACTAGCTTCCCTTACCTCTTAACTGGACAGAGAACTTTCAGTGCAGACACTTGCTCACCACCGAAAGTCTTATAAATCTAAGGTTCACTGATTGATGAAACTAAACCAAACAAAAGACCAGAAATGTGATCAGAATTTACTAGAAGGAGATAATAAACTCATGCAACCAGAAACTTGACTTTCATGTACCCGAAAAAGACGTTCTAAGAAGAGGATAAACTTACCAGCTCAAAATCACAACTTGATCGGTGCAAAGTGAAGCCCTTGATACCAGTAAGACTCAGATGTTGCCTGATTGATGATCGAAAGAAGAAGAAAGTAAAACTTTGTAGAAAGAAGGAAGAGAATTGTATAGAGAATGAGGAGAATATGAACTCAGAAACTTATAAAGAAGAAGTGCATGCCTGGCTTCCACTTTATAAAAGTTTATAAAAGTTTCCTTATATACTACCGTCAAAACCGATTGCCACTCAGTTACGCACACCTGACTTCCACTTTCTGAATTTCTGAATCCTTACACCTACACCTGGCTTCCACTCTCTGCTGAATTTAAGGGTTCTTACACTTGCTTAAGTTTATAAAATGATTTTAGTTATTAATACTAGTACATATTTATGTATAAAAATTTAAATTTTCTTAAATTCTTCCTTTATTAATGTATCAAGAAAATTAATTCTGTACTTCTATATCGAAGTCATATACATTAAACGTAGTGCATGGAAATTCTTCATTTAATAGTTGAATATGTAAATATTGGAGATAGTATGAACAAGAGGGCTGCCTTAAAAAACGTAACGGTTTTTAATTAAATTCACTATTAATAATTTTAATCACTTGAAATATAAATTTTACACTATTTATATTATAAAATGCTTCATTTCTCAATACAAATTTCTAATTTGAGTTATACCAACCAAAGTCTTCAAAGCATGAAATAATTTGCCTTACTTTTATTCTTGCCTTTACCGTATTTAAAAAGGTGAACTTTATTATATAACAGAAGCTAACTTTAAAGGGAAAAAAAAGAAGCTTTTTATGCATGAAAAAAGTATACGTTAAAAAGAGAAACTTATTGAATAAAAGTTTTATATTGTATAGTTCTTTCATTTAAAAACATTCATAAACCAACATATATCTTATATTCTTAAAGCTTAAAAAAATATGGATTTGTAATTATGTTTTTTTTTCACCAATATTTATTTATTTTTATAAATTTTACTTCTCTTGTTTTTATTATCTTATCTTGAGTTATTTCTTTTTGTGCTCTTATTAGTATTGTAAGTCTCAACATATTATTTTAAAATTTCTTGTAGTGTGGNGCCATCCCAATTATCTCGTCCATTCCTACAAGCCTGACCATCTCGTCAATCTTGGCAAGCTTGTCCATCCCGACAAGCCTGTCCATCTGGACCAGCCTCATCTATCTTTCCAGCTCGTCCATTCCATCCAACTAAGGGTCCATCTTGCTAGTGTTCAATTAAAATTTTAAAATATTATCATAAAGCTCATCTTTACAATTTATATATGTAAATATCAGGCATCAAAACAAAACCCTCAATAATAGAAAATAATCCACAAAATGAATCGAAACAAAAATATCCACAAAATGAATTGAAACAAAAATATCGACAAATGAATTGAATCAAAAATACAGATAAGTCAAAAACACACGCTCAATCAAACACCAAAAAGGAAGTGACTAATATTTTCATTCCCTTCATACAATAATTCTCGATCAACAAGCAAACAACAATTGTTGTTAAAGAATTTAGGTTGTAAAGAAACTTCACAGATTTTTGAATTTTGTAATTTCATATACGCGACATAATCAGAGGCCAAGGTCATGCTCATAGATTTTGTAATCTAGTTTGTTTAGCCAACCAACATAGATTGTTCGTCCAGCCCACCTAGTCAATTTTTGTTTTTTTATATTATCCAAAATGAAATATTTTGATTTTTGATTTTCATGGCTGGACTGTCGACTGATGCCAGACTGATGCATTCAGTCGAGGAATGAGATAATATTCACCTTAAGTAAAGTGAAGTATTGTGTTGTAAGCACATTCTAACTTTCTTAATCATGTTTAGTTATACGAGAAAAATATTGACATCAACCTATTTATCGTGGTGATACATGTCGAAGGTGAAAATAAAATGAAACAAGAAAAGAATAAAATGATGAAGAACTAAAATAAAA